AGCGGGTCCTCAGAGGTGTTTCAGTTGCCCCAGCGGAGGGGCGCAGGTAACAGCAGAGCCCTGCGGCGGCCGGGCCTGGCTCTCCTCTTGCCAGTGTCTGTCTGGCTCCCGGCAGCCTGGGCCTCCATCGCAGATCGGTGTGGAGACGCGACTGCCCCAGCACCCGGACTGCGGCGTGTAGTGAGACAGCAGAACCGCCAGGGCCTGCACTGCGGATCCTGGGCACGCTTTCTGTAGACGAAGTGCAATCTCCGTGTCTGGAGGTTTCGGTTTATAAGGGCGCACGAAGGCTTGATAAACCAGGCCTGACTTCGCACTGCTAATTTCATGCTCCCGTCCCTTGGCAGGCAAGTCTCTAGCGCTGTCTGCCGGAGTCTGGCTGGGTGCTGTTTTCTCTCTCCTCTCTCTCTCCCTGAGATCCCGGGCCACGTCCAGGACCGTTATAGGTGAGGAGTTGCGTAGGTACTTTCTTCCTGGACGGAGCTGTTCAGACCCGTCGCCAACCTCCTGAGCTCCTCTGCCCTCAGATGCGACGCGAGAACTTGCAGGGACATCTAGCGCCGGACGTGGGGAACTGCGTGCCTCCGGGCTGAAGCCTCGCCAACCACTGCATCCTCTGCTTGCCTCTGCACTCCTCCATTCTTCGGCACTTTCTTAGCCTTTATCCTTCTGTCTTACTGCTGATCACTATATGGAATCCCCTTAAAGACTGTGAGCTCTGAGAAATGGAGACCGTTTTTCTCTTTTACTTCACACGGCCAACAGAGTGAGCTTTACTGGGTTTAAGATAACAATAGTTTTTCAAGAAAAGTATATTCCTAGGACTACCTCATATCTTGAGATGTCAGACCAAACCATAGCAAATTGCAGTCCCAGATTTTATTAAAAATGTTTAAATTAACAAGTTACTGGGTCTTCCAGCTCTGATTCCACCCTCTGGTGCCCCCTTCTCCATGAGTTTAGTTTTCTTTTCAAAAGAAGACATTTACTGTTTAATTCCTTCAAGATTGGAGGAGTTCTATCTCAAACAAGGGCCTCCTGCCCTATGGAAGGTAAACCTGGCTTCACCAAGTAATGTTTCATGTTTGGGAAGGATCTTTGTCATTGCTCCAAATGATTTTCATTTAACAAAGCCTAATTTTGTTGTTGAACTGAAAGGGAATACGTGGCAAGCATAGAAAGTGACAAAACAGAAAGCACTCTGGCTGGTATTAGAGCCCTCTTTATCTACCCTAGGTAGTGTTTTGGTTTTGGTTTTTGGTTTGTTCTTTTGATATTTTTCAGCCTGGGTGTAACTGGGTATTTCCTGGAGATGGGAAATTGGGTCCAATGTTAGCAGGACTTGGTTAAGAACATTGTCCAGGGCCAGGGATTTAGCTTAGTGGATCCACCACCTGCCTTACAAGCTTAAGGTCCCGAGTTTGATCCCCCATACCAAAAAAAACAAAAACAAAAACAAAAAACCACTCTCCAGCTAGTTCTACTGGACTTAAGAGTTTGGAATTAAGAATCTTTTTCTTCACTGAATGTTTATCTTCTTACAAGTTAATTTGGAAGGTGTTCTGCACTTCCTGGTCTTGGCCATCAAGGCAAATGCTTTCAGAGGAGTCCCCAGGACCCCATTCTGATAGGACCCTGCCATCCTAGTCTTAATAGCCACAGATTATGTGGTTAATTGAGCTTATTGCTGTCTTGGCAAGCAGAGCAACTTCAATAAATCTACCCTGGGCTTGCTTCCCATCACAACAAAACAACGAAACCTAAATTGCAGCCTGTATATAACTGTTCCTCATACCCGGACAGGAGCACAATTTGAAAGATCATCTCTAAGGAAGAAAAGGGAAATATGACTTCTAGAACAACCTCAGTTCTCAAAAAAGGTGCTTGAAAAGGGAAATGAAGAAGAGCAAGTGATGGGAGAGTAAAATGGGGCTTTAGGGAACAAAGGGCATCGTGAATTTTTCACCAAAATCAGGAAATGTAGCAAAATATATCATGGAAGAATGTGTATTTGGACACATCTGTCATTGCCAAAAAAATCATTTAACAGAATCTACTTCTTTTGTTAAAATCCCAGCATGACACACACACATACAAATGTAAGCCTCAGTCTGTGCTCCTGGGTAACTAAAGATAATGATTCCAATTAAGTTTAAACCTAAAACTAGTTTAGACACAGGCTGTACAAGCTAAATGAAATGTTTCTGCCAATTCAGTCTCAAAATTCTTTTCCTAACTACCACCCCTGTGCTATAAACTATGTCTTTAGTCTATAAACACAGCCGCTCAACTTTGCCTAGTACTCAGCAACTGTCTTGTCTTGGGGTACTGGAAAATGGGAGTCCACATAGGGCCCAATCAGAGTCCCTTTCCTAGGGGTAACCCCCTCCTACAGGGCTGGGACCTCAAAAACTTTGCTGGAGGCAGCAAACACAGCAGGATTGAATCAGGACCAAGAAAGCAAAACTCCTTATTATTCAAAATCTCTTTGATCCCAGAATACACATTGGGATGCGTGGAGAAACTCCAAATCCTGCCTGGTCTCTCAGGGCCTTTGGAAGCAAGGCCACCATTGAGAAGTCTCTGAGCATTCATTCAAATGTGCTTCCTAGTTCAGCACAACCTAATTTGCTGCACAGAGAATTAAGCCAAAAGCGATGGGCTACCCGAGATCAGCAAAACCTAGCAAATTTTTCTTCCCTATCTTAATTTTACTTTCTTCATTTTAAACATAAAATCAGTCATTAAAATGTGTTTATCAGATAGAAAATGGAACTGAAATCCAAGGGCATAAAATCACCAAAATATTTAGTTTTAAGAGGCTGAAAGTTCACTAGTCTCAGTTATGTCCTAGAAATATTTCAGTAAATTTTTTGAGGTCATAAAAAAATTGAAAGTGTCTCCATATTTTCTCTCTCACTGAGAAAAGAAAGGGAAACAAAGGAAAAAGCAATGCATCTCCATCTTGAGGTGGTTTGTGGTTTGGTGGTTAGGTACCAAAATTGTTGGGTAGAGGATATAGCCAATCCTTTTCAAAAAGTCAGCAACTCTGTCACCTGGCCTTAGTTGGCCATTTAAAAATACAGTCCAGCTTCCATTGCTAACTTTTGCCAAAACTGTTCTCATCAGCAAACTTCTCTCCCCTACAGTTCTGCAAAACTCGGGTCCCTCCTGGCTTGAATTTGAGCATGAACCTGTCTAAGACTTCAAAAAGGTCAAACTAATTCTTGCTTTTCTTTTTCAGCACCTCTCTCATAACTTTCCCCTTTATTTGAGCCTTTTATGGTTACTGTGTTTTGCGTATCAACACTCCCAACACCGGCAGCCCACCCTGCAATGCCAGGCCAGGCCAAGGACTTTGCTGGAGTGGAAAACTGGCCTCGCCAATCACAAGCTCAGGGGAACGATTTTCTTGGAGACAGGCTGGCCTGGAGAGTTGATGCCTCAGAATCAAACGAGCTCACCCTAAGTGCTCCCATGCCCACTCCAGCACCCTTGACTCCTAGAATCTAATATTGCTCCTAAAACAGAGACCCAAATCTGCACAGGACTCACATGGTTCCCCTTTCATTGCTTAGATCAGCGGGGTAGGCTGAGGAATGGCAGGAAGGGTCAGGGACGTACTGGGGCTTTGATTCCTAAAGCTCAGGCAGCAGGGCCCCAGAGCTGGGTCTAGCCCCACCAGTGATGCCCAGAGACCTCTTGAAGTCTGACCTAGGTGTTCTGGGCTTCCGCTACCACAAGCCTAGGCTCTGCTTGGAAAAAGTACCCTCTTAATTTGCCTCTCTGTTTTCTGCAGTTGGCAACTTGGAAAAGGAAGCGAAACAAAGGTCCCTGGGAAAGTGAAGTTTTCAATTAATTGGTGAGTAACGGGGGGGGGGGGGGGGCTGTAAAATGCAAGAGGCCCGAAGGCTGCGGGCGAGGAGCAGAGGCTTCGCAGCGGCCGAAGAATGGCTTTCTCCTCCCTCGACCTTCGGAGGGTCTTTCTGCCAGCCGAAGGAGGCTTCCTGGAATCAGGAAGCCCAGCTGGGGAGGTGACTCTGGCTGGCCTGAGTGTAGAGACATAGAGGTGTGGACCGGGCGTCAGTGGACTTTCTCGCTGGGGCAGATTGTCAGGCTTGGCGCAGATGTGAGGTGGGTCTTCCTTCCGCTTGACTTGCTTGCGAGTCTCTGCCGCCGCCCAAGGGCGCTCTGTGGGTATTTTCTCCGCGGAGAGTAAATGCGTTATAGGGTCTACGCCCAAGAGTCTTTTAAGTGTGAACTGCCTTTGCCCGTTAGCAAAGTTCAATACAGGGAAAATCAGCTCCCCCGAGTTTAGAGCCCAGAGATGGGCTAACGAAAGATTAAGCCACAGGATTTTTTTTTTTTTTAAGTTTTGTTCTCTTTTCACATCCTTCTGACCATCTCTGCCCTTCGTCTTCATTTTTTTTCCGGCTCAGGGAGCCGAGGAGAGGTGGCAAAGACAGCCCTGGCCCAGACTAGGCGCAGGCCTCGGCGCCCGCCTCCGTCGCAGACAGAGCCTGGGATGGGCCGTCGCGCAATCGACTCTTGGGGGTGGCTGCAGCGCCAACGCCTGGGTCTGCAGGAGGGGGAGGAGGGGAGGTGGGCTGCGCCTGGGCCGGGGGCCGGGGGCCGGGGGCCGGGGGTGGGTGGGTCCAGGCGGGCCCGGGCCTGCAGCCAGGCTCCCCGCGCCCCTGCCCCCACGTGTCCCCACGCAGCCAATGGCACGGTCCCCGGCCGGCGCCCTCGGGGCGGGAGGCGGCCCCCCACCGGCCCAGGCCCCCTCCCAACCTGAACTTCGTTTTTATAAACGTCCCGCAATGAGCTAACCTGTTGGAGGGCAGGCGGGCGGGAGGCGGGAGGCTCGCAGACCGAGAGAGGGCGAGAGGAAGAGGGCGGGAGCGAGCGAGAGAGAGAGAAAGAAGAGGAGGGAGGCGGCGCCGCGCCATGGGGTCCTGCGCGGGGCCGGGGCCGGGCCCCGGGCCGGGCCGAGCCGGGCCATGAGCCGCGCCGGGAGCTGGGACATGGACGGGCTGCGGGCAGACGGCGGCGCCCCCGGGCCCGCCCCGGCCTCCTCCTCGTCCTCGGCTGCGGCGGCGGTGCCGAGCCAGTGCCGCGGCTTCCTCTCCGCGCCCGTGTTCGCTGGGACGCACTCTGGGCGCGCGGCAGCGGCGGCGGCGGCGGCGGCGGCGGCAGCGGCGGCGGCGGCCTCCAGTTTCGCGTACCCGGGGACCTCTGAGCGCACGGGTTCCGCCTCATCGTCATCTTCGGCCGTGGTCGCCGCTCGCCCCGAAGCCCCCCCCACCAAAGAGTGCCCGGCGCCCGCGCCCGCAGCGGCCACTGCTGCAGCGCCTCCGGGCGCGCCGGCGCTGGGCTATGGCTACCACTTCGGCAACGGCTACTATAGCTGCCGCATGTCGCACGGCGTGGGCTTGCAGCAGAATGCCCTGAAGTCGTCGCCGCACGCCTCTCTGGGAGGCTTCCCGGTGGAGAAGTACATGGACGTGTCCGGCCTGGCCAGCAGCAGTGTACCGACCAACGAGGTGCCCGCGCGAGCCAAGGAGGTGTCCTTCTACCAGGGTTACACGAGCCCCTACCAGCACATGCCCGGGTACATCGACATGGTGTCCACCTTCGGCTCTGGGGAGCCTCGGCACGAAGCCTACATCTCCATGGAGGGCTACCAGTCCTGGACGCTGGCCAACGGGTGGAATAGCCAGGTGTACTGTGCCAAGGACCAGACCCAAGGTTCCCACTTCTGGAAATCGTCCTTTCCAGGTAGGGGCCAGGGAGAAAAAGGGAGGGCAGGAGGGAAGGGGGCGAGAGGAGAAAAGAACACTAGGAGCCTGGGTCTCTATTTGGGAGTGGATGCCTGTGCTCCATGCCTGGTCAGCATTAACCCAGTGGATAAGTTTGTCCCGTTCTTGTGAACTCTGTAAAATCCTCCTACCATATAAACGGCCTCAGAATGCTTTGCTTCCTCTGCGTAGTGCAGGTGTGTTTTTCTCCTTAAATTGAGGGTCTTTGCATGTCTTTTAGTAAGATCTCCCTGCTGAAGAGGCCTCTTTCCTACGAGGAGTCACAGAGTTGGGGCCCCACTTTTCAAGGATTATCCAAGGGGGACCACTAAAGTTTCTTAGAACCCACAAATTCCAAACACGAGAATACAGAAATCAAAGCATGGGCAAAAGATCTGACTTTGTGTGTGTCTGTATGTGTGTGTGTTTTAATGTAAGCAACTGGCATTTGCAGAAACTGTCCTTATGAGTGTCCTCAATAACCAGGTCATAAAATCACAGGCTTGTTAAGATACTGGTTTGAGAAACCATGATGATCCATCCAATTAGCCTTTGTTTTGAAGTGCAAATAGTCTTTCTTTAATAACGTGTAAGTAATATCATTGTGTAAATACTAATAAAGTGTAAACAGCCTGTCTTTCTTTATTCTCTATATCCCACCAAGCACTTGCTCACACAGACACATATACACACACAGAGTTCTCAGCTAGGTGCTCCAAATATCCCAGTCTAACTTTTCCCATGCTGTCGTTTGTACCAGGGGATGTGGCTTTAAATCAGCCAGACATGTGTGTCTACCGACGGGGAAGGAAAAAAAGGGTGCCTTACACCAAACTGCAGCTCAAAGAACTGGAGAATGAGTATGCCATTAACAAGTTCATTAACAAGGACAAGCGGCGGCGGATTTCAGCTGCCACAAACCTATCTGAGAGACAAGTGACCATTTGGTTTCAGAACCGAAGAGTGAAGGACAAGAAAATCGTCTCCAAGCTCAAAGATACTGTCTCCTGATGTGGGCCAAGCTGACCAGTTTAATTGCTTTCACTTGTCTCCAAAAGACCTTTGGAAAGACTTGAATATGTATTTAATTCCTCTCCCCACTCCCTGCCGATGATGGCAAATTTTGTGAATTATTTTTCTCTCTTCACCCTCACCTGGCTCTAAAACCTTTTGCTGCCCAACCTGACTTCATAGTTCTGTTTCTTACTTGTTTATTATTGGTTTTTATTCTTGTCTAGGTTTATTTTTTTATGATGTTTTCAATGTTCTGTTTCTCCCTCCAGGCCAGTATAAAGGACTTGAAATATTTTTAATAACCCCCCCAATGAATTTCAGAAGTGCCATTCTGATTTGAGTTCTACTTTTTAAAATTCATTTTATATGTCCGTTTCCAGAATTGATTATCTTTGTAATCCATTAGGACAGAACGATTTGCAGTCATTCATATCCTGTGATTGGGTAATTGAATCATTAGCTCTCAGCAGTTTCCCTGGGGCCAGTGAAACTGCTCTAGGCAGTCTGTGCTCTGGGGTCACCCAGAATGTTGGAAAACAAGAGTCAGAAGGCACTGTGATGGCTCTAAAAGCAGCCACCTTATTAAATAGTGTTTGTATCAGTATTAGAATGAAGACAATCTTCCCAACTTTGGGTCCCTCACTTGCTGTTTTAGTTGTATATTTGTAATACACCTTGCAATTTGTGCTTTTATAATCTTTAATTTTAAAATGATATATCTTCATGGATGCCTTTGTTTCTCAGAATCCAGATAAAGATATTTAAGTAACTGCAATTGGCAGAGTAACCCATGGGTGATACAAATGCACTCTTTTCCTTGGCCTCCAGTCTGTAGGACTAGGACTGAGGCCTTCCAGAGTCTCTGCAAAGAGACTGAACCATTGTGGCCGTGGGTGGAAACTTTATTCAGACCCCAGTGAAGAATTTAAGTATCTGAATGAATGCATTGGGCCTCTCAAAGAGCTTTAAAACATCTAACAAATTTTAAAACTATGAAGCTGTATGTAAGGTCTAAGAAGGGGAAAAAAAGACATTTGTGAAAGTGATGCTAAAGAACTACTTTTAAAGTGCTGCATATTTATACAACTGAGAGATTATTTTTGTAGAGGCAATGTCTGTGAACTGGTATACATGAGCAGTGCTTCAGGCATTTAAAAATCACTTTTTACTCCTAGGGAGAGCCAAATAAACAAAACTCTCTTATTTCCTCTGAGTCTTTATACATATGTGTTCTCTTTTTTTCAAGCTGTGTTGCCTCTAGAAACTGTTCTTATTTATTATAAAATGTTGCTGTCCTGAACACCATGATGTTCTCTAAAGATGAAGGAAATTCTACATCAGTTCTGATCTCTGAAACCTTCACACTTGGCTCTCAGTCTGCTCCCCACCCCTTTAACAGAAATGATGTTTTTAAAAGAGGGTATCATTTGCTGTGTCTAAAAATATCTTTTTACTACACCAGCTCAAAAACTTCTCCAATAAAATGTTATTTCTCCTTCAATATAATCTATTTATTTAAAAAGTTTTATTCATTTAAAAAATTGATAAGTATTAGTGTGGCCAAGAATAGGAAAACTCATTCCTTTGGAAGTTTTCAAACTAGAAAGGCCTGTTATAAATATCTTCTCTTACAAAGGTCTTGAAATTAGAAAGTCATATCCATATTTGGCAATCGAAAAAGAAACATTTCAGCCTTATCTCCTATCTTCTTCTCTGGGTAGTCTGCACACAGCAGTTGACAACTGGAAACCCAAATATACATCCTAACTGCTCGACAAATTTTTAGACACTAAGACCTTTCTCTTTGAGGCCTTTTTTGCTACTCAGAAATGGCAACTGAGGAACCTGGGTACTCACTCCAGTTGTGAGCTCCTGGAACAACTTAATGGCTGCTAACTTTGCTATGTGAGTTAGTTCCAAAACACAGATTTTAAAAATCATGCACAGCATGTAAACTGGCAGGAGGGTTCCCTTAGGGTTCTGTGAGAAAGCACGGGGACCTACAGTTCTGGGAAGCACTTTCGTTTTCTCTGGCCCAGCTTGATTTCTTTAGGATATTCCTGCCGACTGCAGAGAGCCAAATTCGTTTTGAGAAAGACAGGGCCAGACTGAGACCACAGACAGAGAACAGCGATTAAATCTGCAGAAGAAAAACTCCTGAAAATGGGGCCACACCATCCCCAACATTACACTTTGGGAAGGGTCGCTAAGATGTTCCATATTTTTCTCACAGGTTGCGTTTTCATCAGAAACCAGCCTGTTTTTCTTCCAGTCGCCGTCCGCCCCTTCCCCTCACTTCTTTTTCGTAAGTTCCAGACTCCCGGGCCGCACTCCATTTCCCCCGACCCTTTTCTCAGGTTTCCCATGGTGGGCTGGAGGAGTCTGCGCCGAGTTTTTCCTTTCATCTGTACTTTGCACGTCAGTTTCCCTCCGCCTAAGAGAAATGGGAGGTTAGCTGAAGATTAAAACTGAGCTCAAATGCTCTCTGGTGGAATCTGGATTGATGGCTAAATCAATAACAGATGAAGGCTTTGTTATTTATATGTGTTCTTTTCATATTCCGACTTCCGGAGGGCCAGAGAGGAGCGGGGAAAGTGGCCTGGGCTGGGGGGAGGCCCAGTGGAAGCCGGCGAGGCAAAGAGATTTGGAGAGATACTTCTCTTGGTTAGAGACCGAGAAACCGCAGGGAAAGCGCCACAGAAACCTGGCAGATTTTCAGCCCTGCGGGTGGGGGACTGAGGCCCGCGTGTCTGTGCGTGATTCAAGAGGCAGAGAAAGCGTTGCAGCCGAGACTCCAGGGCAGACAAAGAGGCTGCCGCAACGCTTCTAGCAACCCGCTGGGTCCCTTGGCTCCGCTGTTCGGGGCAGCCCTGCGGCCCATCTCCGGCTTTCCGAGCTGCCGGCTGCGCCTGGCAGCGGGCCGTGACCGCGCAGGCTGGCCACCCCAGGCCGCCGCACCGCCCTTCACTGTTGATCTTGACCGTGCGGCGGCGCCTCGCCAGGCGTGGAGCGCGCTCGCCATCTCCTGGGCGGTCGGCGGCATTGGCAGAGCTCGTCTTCAGCTTCTCCGCCAAACGCTCCTTTCCCATTCTCTCTCACCCGGCAGGCCTCATTCCCGCCCCCACCTCCTTCGGGTCCTCCAGCTCCCTGCTTAAGACTTCGCCTGCCAGACTTCAAAAGTCATAAACCTAGGGGATGAGGTGGGGCGGCTGAGCAAGGAGCAATGGAGGAAATCTAGCCGTTCTAGTCTTTTCAGCTTTGCTCTTGGCTCCTTCTTTCGCTCAGTCCTGAGGGGCCCACAGCTGCTGTTACGACTGCCCGATGAGTCCGAGGGAGACACCTGGGGGCTTGGAAATACCAGGGCGTTGAGACGCGAGGCGCGGACACCGCGGGGACCTCTGAACCGGAGATTTCAGGCCTGAGAAGGCCGCGACTCCTGGAAAATAGGACGAGTTTCCCAAAATGAGAGATATCTGAGTTGCCCTAAGTCTCTAGGAACTGGGGTTGCAGTTTTTGCCTACCCCACCTGCCTTGGAAGGTCAAGGAGCGAGTCTTTCTAAGCCTGAGCTCCTGAGGAAACTCCAACAGTGCCCTGAGGAGCCCCGGACTTCCCCCCACCTCCACCGCCACCGCCCCACCCCCATCCCCGTCCCTCCCCATCCCTGTCCCACCTCACCGCCCCCCCCCAAGCTGGAGGAAGAGGCCGATTGCATTCTACCGAGCCGCCCAATTGGTCGCCATAACTCACACAATAAACTCTCGGCGCGGTGGTCAGCCTTGCCCTCCGGCGGCGCTTGTGTGGTCTCCGTGCTGGAGCTGGCAGTCTAACCAATTCCAGCTTGGCTCCGGGACCGGGGAGCTGCTGCAGGCTGAAGCAGGCGCCCCTCTCTGGAATTGACCCTCACTGGGTCTTTGGGGTTCTGGTACTGGAGGCAGAAGACCCCTAGTTCTCCGGGCAGACTACCCAGGAGGGCCTGCCACAGGGGCTGCGAATTCAGCTCCTTAGGAGGGACCGCTGCCTTTCCCGCTTCCCTGTTTGCCAGATCCATGAACGCGCCAGCTGCCTGCTGCCCTGGAAGCCTAGAGGCGTGAAGTGCTGCTGGCTGGCTGCCTCAGTGCGCCTGCTTCCCCCACCCCCACCCTGCCTGAACCAGGTGATTCTGGCTCTTCTGCCTTTCCCTTCGGTCGGGGGAGGGGGGTTGTCCTGCTCTCCCCACCACCTTGGAGTTCTGATTTGCAGGTTGTAGTCGCTAACGTGACTCCTGGTGTCGCCTGTGGCCACAACTGTCTACTCAAGCTGCTGGATTCCCTGTCGGCATTCTCCTAGGACCTGGACTGCACCTTCTCTAGGAGCAGAGTTCCAGGCCGGCCTTGGGGACACACAACAGGGGTGGTGCGAAGCATCCTCCCTGGGCGCCAAACTTGGGCCACAAACTTGGTTTGTGATGACTTGCTTTGATTTTGGTAAACCTCCTGGACGGGTCTGTGGCCTGGGACCCAGGGCTCGTGCAAAAGTGGGACTTTGCTGCCTGATTCCCTCCCCCCGCCCCCCGCAGCGAGCCCCTGAGAGGGCCTTTGTATGAAAGGGATTGAGAGAGGAGTGGCATGGCCAGGCCGCGCCCTCTCCGGACAAACCCAGAGGCACCGGTTACTGCAAAACGCCTCAGCTGCAATTTAAAGCCGGTAGAAGCAAGCCCGGCCCAGGTAGCCAGCAGAAAACGGGATGGCAAAGCCAATCAAGACCAGGAAGGGTCCCAAGGGACATCTGGGCAAAGGCACCTTCAGCCCGCTGCCCCCAGCTCCTGAAGCCAGCCCGGAAACTTGCAGTGGCTTCCCTTTGCTCAACCTGTTTTGGCTCTGCGGCTGCCTCGTCCTTTGCCCTCCAACCTTAGGGGTGTTATCATAATACCCTTAAGGGGGGGAAACGTGTCGGGGGATGTAGGCGGTGCTGAAACGACCGACTTTGAAGAACCTGCAAGCAAAGTTTCGTCCAATCGTCTGAGCCTGTCCTCTTATTCCGGGTTGTAACTAAATACTGTTGCGAGAGCAGCTGAAGCCCTTTGTTGGAGATGTGTGAGCGCAGTCTCTACAGAGCGGGCTATGTGGGCTCGCTGCTGAATCTGCAGTCGCCCGACTCTATCTACTTTTCAAACCTGCGGCCCAATGGCGGCCAGTTGGCCGCGCTTCCCCCCATATCATACCCTCGCGGGGCGCTGCCCTGGGCCTCCACTCCCGCCTCGTGCGCCCCCGCTCAGCCTGCCAGCGCCAGTGCCTTTGGCGGCTTCTCGCAGCCCTACCTGGCCGGCTCCGGGCCTCTTGGTCTGCAGCCCCCGGGCTCCAAGGACGGACCCGAAGAACAGGTCAAGTTCTATTCGCCCGAAGCAGCCGCTGGGCCCGAGGAGCGCGGCCGTACCCGGCCGCCTTTCGTCCCCGAGTCTAGCCTGGCCCCCGCGGCTGCTGCGCTCAAAGCGACCAAGTACGACTATGCGGGCGTGGGCCGTGCCGCGCCAGGCTCTGCGACCTTGTTCCAGGGGGCCCCCTGCTCCGCAGGCTTCAAAGACGACACCAAGGGCCCGCTCAACTTGAACATGACAGTGCAGGCGGCAGGCGTCGCCTCTTGCCTGCGACCTTCGCTGCCCGACGGTAAACGGTGCCCATGCTCTCCGGGCCGGGCCGGTTTGGGAGGTGGGGTGCAGGGGCGCATTCTAGGGGGAGGGAAGCCAGCGGGGCTGGGCAGTGACCGGGAGCCAGCCTGCCTGACACAGGATGGGGCCTGTGTTGCAGGTTTGCCGTGGGGGGCGGCCCCGGGGAGGGCCCGCAAGAAGCGGAAACCATATACGAAGCAGCAGATTGCAGAGCTGGAAAACGAATTCCTGGTCAACGAATTCATCAACCGGCAGAAGCGCAAAGAATTGTCCAACAGGCTGAACCTCAGCGACCAGCAAGTCAAAATCTGGTTCCAGAACCGGCGTATGAAGAAGAAGCGTGTGGTGCTGCGCGAGCAGGCACTGGCGCTCTATTAGCCGGGGCGTAGCCGCGGCCAGGTCAGGCCTGCCCTCTTGGACCGAGGCCTGGAGTGGACAGCAGGTGCTGGGACTGGGTCTTTCCCCTCGGGTGTCGGCCGATTCCGGGTATCCTCCCGCTCCGTCTGCAGCCCCAGAAGCCTGTAGGAGATAGGGAGATGAGGCCAGTTTGGCCTCCTCGATTTACATTCTAAGAAGCTTCTGAGGGGTGTTTGGGAGTTGCAAGGCAACCTTGGCTGGAGTCACCTGTCTTTTCTCTTGTCCGTGGCATTTGCAACTCGGGTTCACTCTCTAACCCTTGCACTTGGATTTTTCTGTGTCCAGCTGTCCAGTTCTCTTTTCCTCCTCTCTACCCCTCTCTGCCTTAGCAAGCACCTAGCAAATTTTCAGCAAGGACATGAACATAGGAAGGGCTTCAGGACTCAGCCTCAATGGAAAGGGCTG